CACTAAATGGCTGAGTAAAGAAGTGACCTGGCTTCCAGAATCCTAAAGAAACTCTGATGTTCTGAGTGAGACAGCTCCTTGTAAATCCTCCACTACCCAGGGAGCTGGCCAGATGGGCGGTTCTGCTCTTATAGCTTAAAGCTTCAGGGTTTTCATCCACTCTGACCTCCTTTTCTCCATTTTCCTTAGGACCAAATTTATGAGAAATCAGTTAAATATTGCAGGGAATTGCAACAGCTACGAGGAGGCATGGGTGATCCTGGGAAGGAGGCTTTAAGGAAGCGCTGAAGCAGAAGTCAGCAGTGGGTCGATGTGTCAGGGGATGTGAGAACGTGGAGGTTGTTTGAACAATTCGTTCCAAAACTTGCCCATGAAGGCAGAAGATAACACCAAAGTGTAGAACCTGAAAACTTACAAGAAATTAGGAGACATTTTTAAAAGATTCAAAATAAGTAAAGATTGTATAAATGCTAGTGGGAGGTAGCCAGTGGAGTAGAAGAAGGTTAATGGGGGAGAATATTCACTACGTTAAGTTGGAAAGGATGGAATCCAAGAGCAGAGTGGAAAGGAGAAATGAATGAATATGGTGGGATGGTCAGATGGGAGAGAACTCTCCCATCTGCTGGCTTCCATCTTTCTTTGTGGAAGAAGGGATGAGATCATTTGCTGAAGACGATTGAAGAGGTAGAACGGTCGAAGGCTGGAGATGATTAGAGAAGATTTTGAAATACACTGTAGAGAAAATGAAGACAGAGTTGACTAGAGTAATAGGAAAGACTGCTGTGCAGATTTGAGGGTTCTGTTAAGAAGGGGGATAGTTAATGTATAAGGAACCAATATTTGCCACTTTGTCATTGACCCTGCCAGCATTCCACAAGCCAGATGTGGCCCAGGGAAGATGACAGCTGGTGTTTCCAGAGTTGGAACTTCACTAGATGGGTGCAAGAGAAGGACAAAGGGACAAGGGAGTTGGGAATATTGCAAACGTTTGAAGTGATGGGCCCTGAATCCAACCCGGATAGGGAAGGAAGTGAAGACCAGAGAGCTTAGAGACAGTCATTCATTCATTTTTACAACCAGTATTTTGAGCACCTCCCATGTGGAAAGAACTATTTTAAGGCCTGAGATGGTGATTCCAGAAGACATGGCCCTACTTCCATGGGCTTTAAGATCTAAAGTGGAGGCAGATGTTAAACAAATGTTCAGACAAATCACCATGTAGCTACAACTGTGGTAGGACTATTACAAGGATAAGGAGGAGCACAGGAAAGGACTCTATAGAACTGAAACAACAGAAAGTGATCGAGAAAGGAGAGAGATCGTGAAACCCACTGTGTAGAGGTAGAGCCTTTCCTGATAAGAACAGGAGTGGAAATGGAGGGGGATGGCGAGGCCAGGGGAACAGAGGTCATCAGACTTCATTTAGGGTATTGAATGGGGCGTCACGTCACCCTGATGGCCTGTGGTTGGGCAGACCCATCCATGCAGACACGTCAGGCAGGGTGCAGCAGGATTAGGGGTGAAAAGAAAGGCAATGAGCCCAATGAAGAAGGCAGGGCGGGTGGTATTGTCCCTGGCAAGGTTTAGGGACCCGGAGCGCCGGCGATCCTATAGCTTCCAAGCTGGAAGGCAGTCGGCAAACAGATAAAGGTTTTCTGGCTTCCAGTCCAGAGTTACTTGTACTTACATTACTCTCTCTGAGAGCAGCCCTCTGCAGAATGAAAAGCGATCAAGGTGAATTTTAAGGATGAGGAAGAGGCACATGGCAGAGGCTTAGCCTCAGTGACGGCATCCTGGCCTGGCTGTAAGTCGAGGCTGTGGGCGGTGGGGACGGGTGGGTGGCAGGATGGGGAGGCACACGGTGACGTTGCCCCAGCTGCCTTGGCCTTCTTTTAGATTTGCAGGAGGCCTCGCTACCATCTGGGTAAGTGGCTGATTAGTCACATTTCACAGTGATAGATACATACCCAGTTGCAAAAAAAATGGAATGTTTCTCCATGGTGCGGGAGTGTTTGGGACAGAGAGCCATAGATCACCGAAATTGCAGATGCAATAATCTGACCCTAAAAAGTAACTTGAGGATGGGTGCCTAAAAGTGAAAAGGCAGAATTTTTGTGACATACTCCACCATTTCATATAGATCCTTTGCTACTGGCTCCCCATTTGATTCTCTTTGAGTGATGTATAAGTTTGCTAGAGGGTCCATAACCAAGGGTCCCAGACTGGGTAGCTTAAACAACAGAAATTTATTTTCCCCCACTTCTGGAGGCTGGAACTTTGAAATCTGGGTGCTGGTAAGCCTGTTTCCTTCTGGAAGTTCTCTCCTTGGTGTGCAGACTGTCAACCCTCCTGATGTCTCCACATAGTCTCCCCTCTGTGTCTTTGTCTTCATCTCTTTTTCTTATGAGGATGCCAGGCTTACTGGATTAGGGCTCACCCTAATGGCTTCATTTTAACTTCATTACCTCTTTAAAACACTTCTCTTCAAATATGGTATTTTCTGAAGGACGAGGGAGTTGAATCCCCAACATGTAAATCTTAGGGGGACATGATTCAGCCTATAACGGGTGACAGTTTTAAAAGCTCGAACATAAATAAGTTGATAACAATGATTGCCTCCATGGCGGAACAGGAAGCCTGGGAGGTCACAGGAAGATTTACTTTTAATTATACACTTTTTTGTATTATTTGAGATTTGTTCCTGCAAGTGTTCATTATGTAATCAAAAATAAGAGAAAATCATTGCATTGATTGCACATCCTTGCACTCAATGCCTTTTTCTCTTTCTTTCTTTCTTTCTTTCTTTCTTTCTTTCTTTCTTTCTTCTTTCTTTCTCAGAGCAAGAGAGAAAGAGAGCAGGGTTGGGGTGGCAAGGGGCGGAGGGAGAGGGAAAGAGAGAGAATCTCAGGTGGGTTCCATGCTCAGCTCAGAACCTGACCTCATTTGGGGGTTTGATCTCACAACCCTGAGATCATGACCTGCGCTGAAATCAGGAGTGGGATTCTTTACTGACTGAGCCACCCAGGTGCCCCTCAACACCTATTTATTGAATAAAATTAACATAAACACAGTGACAATCCACTGTGCCTTTGGAATTTAGATCTACTTGAAAGTCCTTGATTAGTACAGGAATGGTACTTGCCAAGGTTTTCCTCATGTAACTTATCCTGAAGAAACTAGTCTCCCCCTATAGACTGCAAACTCCAGTGGGCCTGGGCAAGGACAACCTCACCATTTTGTCCCCAGGACCACGCACAGAGTTGGCACTCCTATGTGCTATATGAATGAATGCACCAGTGAGTCCAATAAGCAGAGCAGCTTCGGGGAATGAGGTTCTTCCTAATGTGTTAGTTCCATAGAAAGTGTCAGGGAGGGGAGTGAAGAGGGGAGAGTTCCCATGTTTTGAATAATTTACTAAACTAAATCAAGATAAAAGGTTTAAGGGGAAACCACTTACCCTAATATGCCCTAGTCCTTGTTCTTTGGGAAAAAAAATAGGAAGATTCTGCCTTCTTTGGGGTTCCTTTAAAACAATTCAACCCCCCACAACCCTATTGCTTTTTCCTATTTTGTAAAGAGCGGTAGCTAGGAAGAAGTGGCATGAACCCTAAGCAGATTTCTTTCACAAACCCATTTACCCAAATTCCTTTTTGTGCCTCCCAATTTACCTCCAATGCTCACCTCCAACCCTAACACTGCCTCTCACCTTTTGTTGTTGTAGGTCTGGGGTTTCCGGGAAAGAACTCAGCCTCTTTGTTTCCCTTCAGAGAGCATTAGACATTTTATAGCTCCCTTTGAGAGTCTGCAAGAAGGGGACAGAAAAACATGGCTGCTAGGTCCTCTCAGGCACCCCGGGAACTCCATCTGCTCCTCAAGGCACTGTAGTGCCCAGGAAAGCCAGGTCAAGTTGAAAACAGAGTTCAGATGATGCTGAGCATGAGTTGTCAATGCGAATGAATGAATGAGGAGATTAGCCCCTCTGGCTCTCATGCAAGCTTGAGGTTGTCCCAGGAAGTGGACTTAGCTTATGGAAGCCCAGGCCTGCCTCTTACCCTGGCCTTTGGTACTACGTACGCCGACAGTCCTGTGGTTCTCCCTCCATACTAGCACCTCCTGCTGAGTCTGGAGGACCCTCCTCACCTTCCTCCATTTGGCTTCATCCAAACAGGGAGGTAACTAGATGCATGTGTCACTGAAGACCCACTGGCAGCATATTTTTGTGAAAAGGTACAAACTTTATGCTCTTAAGGGTAAGCTACAGTGTATCATATACATAGTTTTAGATTTAATGAAAGGACAGAGTGGTGAAAGATGATCGCCATCCGCCCTTAGCTGTAAAAGACAGGGGTTGAAGACAGACTGATGTTCTCATCACAGAAGGCTTTCCTTTGCTAGCTTTAACCTCCAAGATGCTGGTACATCTTCTCAACGGGAATGACAGAACAGCAAAAGCAAATTCTGCTCGAGTAATTTTTATTTATTTTTAAAGGTTTTATTTTATTTTATTTTTTTAAGGGAATACAAGCAGGGGGAGTGGGAGAGGGAGAAGCAAGCTTCCTGCGGAGCAGGGAGCCCGATGAGGGGCTCCATCCCAGGACCCTGGGGTCATGACCTGAGTGGAAGGCAGACGCTTAATGACTGAGCCACCCGGGCACCCAAGATTTTTTTTAAGTTTTATTTTACTATGTCATGTTAGTCATCATACAGTACATGATTTGTTTTTGATGTAGTGATCCATAATTCATTGTTTTCGTGTAACACCCAGTGCTCCATGCAGAACGTGTCCTCCTTAATACCCATCACCAGGCTAACCCATCCCCCCACCCCCTCCCCTCTAGAACCCTCAGTTTGTTTCTCAGAGTCCATAGTCTCTCATGGTTCATCTCTCCCTCCGATTTCCCCCCCTTCATTTTTCCCTTCCTTCTCTTAGGCACCCAAGATTTTATTTATTTATTTGAGAGAGAGAGTGAGAGAGCGTGAGCAGGGGGGAGGGGCAGAGGCAGAGGGAGAAGCAGACTCCCCCCTGAGCAGGGAACCTGCCTGGAGGCTCGATCCTAGGACGCTGGGATCATGACCTGAGCTGAAGGTGCTTCACTGACTAAGCCACCCAGGCACCCCTGTATGAGTAATTTTTAAATGACCAAACACCAAAATTAGGATCAGAAGGAGCGGAGTTTAGGACTATGAAAAGGTTAAGGATGGATAACTGACATCCCTACAGCTAATATAATTAAATGACAAAATGTGCAAGACTGTACAACCTGCTTGAGGGCAGAAGCCCAGTTCTTACCACTTTCTGTCATCTGCCAGAGCCTCACATGATGTCCTGCCCACAAAGTGAGTCTTCCGCACATTTTAATTCACTAGAAATTTTTGAATTGTATCCTATGTGCAGAGCTGGGCAACCTGAGATCCCGAGTAGAATCTCTGGGGCAGTCTTCGGTTTGGGGAAATGCCAGCCACTGTGATTGATGGCAATGGAAACTCAGGCACTGAAAAGTGAAGTTTAAAAGAAATGGGGAAACATAGCTGGCATCCAGACCATATTTATAATCAGGGCAGAGTGGCCAGCTCTGGAAAGCCTCTGTCATTGGATAGTTGAGGGGAATTAAGAAATTCAAATAGAAGGCAACTTTAAAAACTACGTTAAAAGAAATGGCAAATGCAAATGTTCACTTAGTATAGATCAAGTGTATCTTAATTCATACTAGCCCAGGTCCTATGGGTATTTAGAACAGGCAAAAGATGTCTCTTCTGAGAGAATTCTGGAAAACGATGGTCCATTTAAAAATAGTTCATTATTGTAAATAAGGACCTTACTTCAGGCTTTATGTCGCAGCAATCAGGCAGGACTATTAAAAGGAACACAAATGTCTGGAAAAAAGATTCCAGTGGGTCAATTCTTGGAAAGAAAGCTTAATCAGTATGAAAATGGGGACAATGTTCCAGGATGATGTGTGTTACTAAAAGCAAAGAATATGGTAATTAGATTAAAAGGGAAGAAATAGAAGCAAGTATGGGATTAATTTCAAATGGAAATACTATTCAAATGGTGTGGAGGGACAACAAAATTCAATTCCGGGGTTTCAGTTTTGTGGATCTGTTTCTTTCTCATGCCCTTGCGTGATTTAGAGCCTTTTTGAATGATAGTCTTGTCATCTAACAAATTTTCCTTTGATTCCTGAAGATGCATGTTTGTCTCCATCTTTAGTTAACCTGGTCATCAATTCCTGTGGAATAAGGAAGATGATGTGGATTCTGTAAGTAAAGTACTGACCAGCCAGTTTCAGGCCCTGAGCTATCAAACCTGGTTCTTAGAATCCACGTTCTCAAGTCTGGCCCTTTGTTTAGAGAAAGAAAAAAAAATCAATAGGGTGGCTTGAGGGAGACATTTCCCCATCTTCACTGAAGGCTGATGAGCAATTACTGAGGATCCTGTTGAGAAATTTGTGAACAATTGAAAGAGTTTATCTGATGGCTGACCAGCTGTGAAATTTAGCTTCGAGTATTTGATTCTTAAAGTGAGGGGGTTAATTTGGGAATTGTGAGTTTCCTTGTGTGGAAAAGGAGAATGGATTCCCTTTATTCTGTTAGCATACAAAAATCAACAACCCCAACCACATCTAAGTGAGAGGGAGAGTCCTCTGCTCAACAAAGTTAACATTCTTCTGTTTCTTCCCTTTCCTTTCTTATAATTTTGATACACTTACTTGGCTGCCTGTGTGTGTGTGTGTGTGTGTGTGCGTGAAGCCTAAAAGCCTGGGCTTTTGCTAAATGTGTGCCTTTAATTTTTATCTGATATACTTCTGTCATAAAAACATGTCTTGTCTTTTTGATCCCAATATAAAGCAGATGCACCACAAATGTTTGTTGACTCTGGTCCTTCTTCTAATAACAGTGATGGGAAATCCGGGAAAAGAATGTGTTGTTTTCCCAAATACTGCTCTGTAAATCTCAGACGATAAAGTACCAGCTAATTACCCCCTGGGTCCCAGGCTTTCACTGGGGCCTTCTAAAATACACAAAACTCAAGTGAAGGCATGACACCATTAGCCCTACATAATTCAAGCAAACAATAAATGTGTTTACTCTGCCTGGCTACTGACCACCTGCCTTTCCATCCCACCAGGCAGGTATCTATATATAGGATCTCCTTGTTTGCATTCCTGCAGAGAGTGAGCCTTTCTTTCCTTTAGGCCTCACCATCTGTGAAACTGAAAGAAGCTTGGGCCCCCGACAGCATGTGTCGTCTCTTACTTCAGCTGCTGGTGCTCCTGCCTCTAGGGAAGGCTGCACAGCAGCGGGATGGCTGCCCAAGTCAGAGTTCTGTCTCCCCTGTGCTCTTAGAAAGGGATCGCAGGGAGCTCCCCCTTGGCAACCATGAGGATGCTGAGGAGAAGCCAGATCTGTTTGTCGCCGTGCCCCACCTCATAGGTGCAGGAGAAGGCCAGAGGCAGAGAGAGAAGATGCTATCCAGGTTTGGCAGGTTCTGGAAGAAGCCCGAGAGAGACCTGCACCCCCCCCAGGACGTGGTCCCTGAGCGCTTCCCACCTGGGACCCACGCCGTCACTCAGCCAAAAGATGGGCTGCAGATGGAGAAATCTCCCCTTCGGGAAGAGGCCAAGAAATTCTGGCACCACTTCATGTTCAGAATGAGTCCAGCTTCTCAGGGGATCATCCTGCCCATCAAAAGCCACGAAGTACATCAGGAGACCTGTAGGACAGTGCCCTTTGGCCAGGTATCTGCTTTGGAAGGGGAGGGGATCAGAGTTGGTAAGAAAGGGGCAGACAACTGGGACAGGTGCAGAGTAGGGGAGGAGGCTGCCAAGAGCCCGAGTCTCACCTAACTTCCAGATTGGATCCTTGGGCATTCATCATAACATGTGGCAAAGTATGATTAGACTTCCCAAATTTCCTTCTAACTTTCCATTGGTTTTTGGTATTCTGGAAATGCTGTCAGAACAGTATGACACTGCTGCTCAGATTAGTAATCATTCACATTGATGGCACAGACCTTTGTTTTAAGGGGCTTTACCTATTTTTATGCTGGAGGTGTTCTATCCGGAGAGGTAAGTAAGACCATACCCTCAGTTAGGAGAAGTGTGGGAACTTAGAGCGATAACCAGAATTTCTCTCCGGTTATACCTCTACACTCTATTGGGATGGGGACGAGCAGGTTGACTCTACCTGTAGATAAGGTGGGATACATTGGACTCCTCGACAAACATTCACATACACAAGTATCTTGGTCTTAATCCCTGTATTTCCCACCGGACCATTTCATAGGCTGTCCGATGGAACTTGCTACATCATTTCTAACGTTACTGCAGCAAAAAATGATTTAATTTAACTTATTTTCTCATAAGCTTTCAAAAAATAATATCAGTGTGGAATCACATTTTCTCCCCTCAGAAACACCTCTGACTTCATGTCGCATTGGCTGATTTGTGGTTATTATGATTGATTCTGCACTATTAAGACAAAGGGGCATTTTCTACTAGCCACTTCCTCCAGTCAGTCCTGGCAAGCGCTGCGCTCCAAATGTTAAATTAAATTGAGAAACTGCATCAGGTCCTTAAACACGAAGATACTGAACCCAAAGCAACGCACGAGAGAGTAAAATTTTACAGTGCAATAATGCTACCCAATTAAGCAGGCAGTGTTATCAGGTAATTGACTGTGTCACCAGTTAAGTATTCTGTCTGAAAAGGCAAAGATAGGTAGCAATAAGTCCATTATCTAATAATAATGACTGCTTTGTTGGCCATATTGCTCCCAAGAATCGTGCAATCGAATTGCCTTTGAAAGTCTTATTTTGAATTCTGTTACTAATTAAATTCAAATTAAGGTGTTTGACTCATGTATCTTGAAGGGCACGTAAAGCTAGGTGAAGGGGGGATGGGGGGCAAAGGTGATATAATGCATGATGATTTGCAGACATATGTATTACTTTGCCCCATGCAACTTCATAGATTTGAACATACTATAGGTTCTGCAGAATAGAATAGAATTCATCTTGCTGTTCCGATCTACTCTATGAGCAGTTGAACAATCACGTATGGAGAATCTATTTTGCAAATGCGCTGTGGGGCTTAGAAAGATAAGGCACATTACTTGTATAGGAAGTTAGCCATTCGAATTTTTTCAACTGGTAACATCTAATTAGACAAAACTTAAAGTTTGGCATTTAAGATGTAAAGCATTTTCTCATTAACTTAGGGATTTCCTAAAGGCTAATTTATTAATCTACTCAATAAAAGAAATTTAGTTGAGGTGGCTTTATGCCCTTAGAGATTAGCCATCACTCAGATATTGTAATATATGCAAAATCGGAAAGTTTTTTCACATTTTAGTCTGAATTATCTCCAGACTTATAATAGTCTTTTGCTTCTGCATCATGTGTGTTAATGAAATGACTCAAGATAACTGAATGGAGATGTGTTTGCCTTGTAGACGATCACCCATGAAGACTGTGAGAAAGTAGTTGTACAGAACAACCTTTGCTTTGGGAAATGTGGGGCCGTTCGTTTTCCTGGAGCTGCGCAGCACCCCCACACATCCTGCTCCCACTGCTCACCTGCCAAGTTCACCACGATGCACTTGCAGCTGAACTGCACTGGCCTTGCCTCCGTGGTCAAGGTGGTGATGCTGGTGGAGGAATGCCAGTGCAAGATGAAGACTGAGCATGAGCATGGACACCTCCTCCAGGCAGGCTTCCAGGCAGGCTCCCAGGCAGAATTTCATGCCCAGGATCCCTTCATCCCAGGATTTTCCACTTAAAAAGAGATCCCACTATTACCTTTGAAAAGCAAAACTACAGCAGCAGCAAAGGTGCTGGTTTATTCAGCTTGGAAATGTTAGTGGGTGCACACTATTTTAAGGGAAAGGTGGTTCAAAAGTAGTGAGCTAGAACAATTTAGAGGCAATGGTGTTCATCTAGTTATGGGTACATATTTGGGTTCTAGTCTTGGCTCTGCCCCCCCGGGCAGGAGGATGTTAAGGAGTTGTGGAAGCTTTCTCCATCTCGAGGGCTTCATCTCTACGCGAGGGACTTGAATCAGATGATTGCTAAAGTCCTCTCCACTACGAATATTCCATGATCTAGGGTCTCCGAGTTCTGGTTAAAGCCCTCCATCTGAAGTTGGAAAAGAAAGAAAGTAGACCCTAAAAATTGGCTTCTTTAATGGCTTGTCAAAGCACCACCAAAAACACGTATCTAGTATCTGTAGGAAGGATTCTTTGCATCTCAGGCAACGTTTTATTTGCCCTCCATCAGATGATTATTTGACTTGCAGAGATGTAAGGAGTAGCTTGCTTGGCTGCCTCTTAATTTTTTTGATACGCCTCATATAAAGCTCTTAATGTCTGGTCCTTGGCTTTGAAGAAGGAACGGTAATGTTACTTTTAGTGGTTTATATAGGGACAGGAAACAATCATTGGTAGCCACGCAAGTATCTCCACGATGGGGAAATAAAAATATATGACCAGTACCAGGCTTAAAGATCAACTCATTGATGCCGATGAAAGTAACCAAAAAATTCCAGTGGACGTCAAATTAAATAAACTGCAAATGTTTAAAAATTGAAACAATTTACAGGTGAAATTCTTTATCCACATTCATTTTGGATTAGGTAGTAAGTTACAGGTCTGTGTTGGGATGACTGGTTTTTTGCTGTGTTCTAAAAACTTTGTATTACAGATTTTTGTTCGGTGAATGCTGTACTTGCAAGGTCTGAAAATATTCTGAATATTTTAATGTATTAAATTTTAGTGTATGATGCATTCTGGGAAATGTCATGGCATTCAGTTGTCTTAAATTTTGTCTTAATGGTTTTTTTTCTGTCCCATAACTTAAAGGTGCTATCTGGAGACTACATACCTGGAGCATTTCTCAAATGACTTCAGAGGCTAGTGATAATGCCTCAAGTGTTTCTTCTGACACTTCCAGCAGTTTTCTGTTAACAGAAAAATCACTGTCCTTGTGATTCCATTTCTCCTTCTGTATTTATTTGTACTCATACATTGTACAGGCCAGCTTTCCCTTGCCCTATTTCTTTTTCTATAATCATTCTTTAAAAAATTCATCTTCAAATTATTTTAATTATTTGAACCCTATTACTTACAGTATACACAGAAAGGCGTTTCCCAGAATATTGATTTTTTTTAAAGGAATCAATGTATACTTTGATTCTATTTCTCTTTAATCACACCATCTAACCTGGCGTTCTGAGGAAGCGGATGCGTTTATATTTAGTGTATATTCTACATCAAAGTAATAGAATATGTGATATACAGATACACATGTGGCATTTACATCAGAATATATTATACCCTTCGGTGGTCAAAGACAACCTAATTGGCCAAGATATGGTCAGAGGATGAAACTGTTAAGCATTAATGATAGCCCAGCTGGTCAATATATTGTGGTGCCAAAAGCTATTGAGCAGCTGCCTTGTGTGCAATCGCCTAGCCCTGATTATGTAAACCTGTCTCTGCCAATTGGACTGTCCTTCTCCTTACATGCTTACAAATCCCTTTTATTTATGCTTGCAAATAGACTCTCAAGCCCAAGCCCCAAACAATCATCAGTCTTATTCAAACTCTGCTCTGCTCTTTCCCCATGTGAATTCAAGACGAGACAGTGGATGGTGGTATCAGAGCTTGCATCCATAGTGCAAACCTCATGAAATTGCCCACGTTCATCCATTTTTACTGGAAAAAATAAAGGCAGTTCTCAATGGTTCAACATAATACACGGGAGCACAGACACCTGAGAGAAACACACAAATATCGAACATCTATTAAGTGCCAGATATTATGCTGAGTCTCTTACGTAAGTTATAAGTTATATAACTTACATAACGCACAAATACATATATTATACGATCTTCACAAACATCTTTTTAAAAATTTTATTTTATTTAAATCCAATTAATTAACATATAGTGTATTATTAGTTTCAGAGGCAGAGTTCAGTGATTCATCAGTTGCATACAACACCCAGTGCTCGTTACATCACGTGCCCTCCTTAATGCCCATCACCCAGTTACCCCATCCCCCCAGGCCCCTTCCCTCCAGCAACCCTCAGTCTGTTTCCTAGAGTTAAGAGTCTCTTATGGTTTGTCTCCCTCTCTGATTTCATCTTGTTTTATTTTTTCCTCCCTTCCCCTATGATCCTCTGCTTTGTTTCTTAAATTCCACATATGAGTACAATCCTCACAAAAATCTTATGAGGTGGGTAAATACCCTATTTTACAGGTAAGGAAAACAAGCCTTAAAAAGTTTAAGCAACCAGCCTATGGTCATTTGGAGCATATTTTCTATTTGTATTAAAATATTTGCTCATTCATTGCCCATCAGTTTAGCTCGATCTCTTTGAGGTCTCTTGCCTATGGGCCTCAAAGCTAATTTCTTTTACCTCTTGCTCAGCAAGCATATTTGAAGGACATCGATGTTCCCTCTTGAAAGAGAAATCATCCTTTGGTCAGGTTCTCAGCTAAGCATTGCCTTAACTGGAGAGGTGGTCATGGCAATTCCCTCATCAATCTTGGTCTCATTTTCTGCCCAGATAGGATGAGGGTGATAAATAATTACTGCAAAATTATTGTGGGGGCACCTGGGTGGCTCAGTCGGTTAAGTGTTCAACTCTTGATTTTGGTTCAGGTCATGACCTCAGGGTCGTGGGACTGAGCCCCATGTCGGGCTCCACGGGCAGTGGGGAGTCTGCTTGAGATTCTCTCCTTCTCCCTCTCCCTCTGCCTCTCCCCCTACTCGTGCTCTCTCTCTAAAATAAATAAGTAAATCTTTAAAAAATTATTGTGATGATCAAGTGTAGATAGCAGCACATCAGAGAGCTTTATATTCTGTAAAAACACAAGGGCTTAGTTCACTCTTTTCCATTCAGATGATCTTTTAAAAAAATTGTTTTGAGAAATTTAAAACACATTATCTTTTGTGCAAAAGATATTATAGCAAACACTCAAATTTTTACCATCAGAATATTTGACATTTTGTCATCTCGTGCTTCTTGTCTATATTTGTTAAAGAAATAAACCATTTCACGTATAAGTAAAGTCCCCTCCAACCACCATGCTGGGTCCCATCCCCCAAACCCCTGACCTCTCAAGCCCTCAGGATTCCTATTTATACTTTCAGTATCCTTTTATATTTTTATAAAGGTATGCATATATCCATTTATAATAAATAGCATTATTTTTCTATATATGTTCCTTTATGCAGCATGTATTTATGGATCTACCAGGTATGTGCAAGATACAGTTCTTTTTTTTTTTTTTTAAAGATTTTATTTATTTGACAGAGAGAGATACAGCGAGAGAGGGAACACAAGCAGCGGGAGTGGGAGAGGGAGAAGCAGGCTTCCCGCTGAGCAGGGAGCCTGAAGTGGGGCTCGATCCCAGGACCCTGGGATCATGACCTGAGCCGAAGGCAGACGCTTAACGACTGAGCCACCCAGGCGCCCGCAAGATACAGTTCTAGGTGCTGTGCATATAGCAAGAAAACAAGTCAGACAAGCTCCCTGCTCCCATAGAGCTTACATTCTAGTTGGGGGAGACAAGCAACTTGAGAATCAGTCAACCTGTTAATCAATCAACCAAAAAGGAAAAATATCAGGTGGCTGTAAGTGATATGCAAAGAACTGAGATAAGGAATTGTGCTAGAGGTTCGTTACCTTAGTTTGAGTAGTCTCTGAAAGGGTCACATGAAAGCTGTGAGTTTTTAATTATATCTATGATGTTCTGTTTGAATTGTTCTACAGTGATTTTTTTTTTTCTCCACACAGAGTTCTGTCTAGTTTTTGTAACAGTTTTTACAGTTTTTTTTTAAATGTATATTTTATCTCGATTCTAGAAACTTGGAATTAAATATTCCCTACAGAGAGTGGTTAGCTTAGCTTTGATAATTTATTTTTTCAGTGTACATAGTCTCTTTAAACTGTCAATTTAATTCCTAATTAAGAATGTCATGCATCTTCTTTTTTTTTTGAAACAGATTCTTTTTTTTTTTTAAAGATTTTATTTATTTATTTGAGAGAGAGAGAATGAGAGATAGAGAGCACGAGAGGGAAGAGGGTCAGAGGAAGAAGCAGACTCCCTGCTGAGCAGGGAGCCCGATGCGGGACTCGATCCCGGGACTCCAGGATCATGACCTGAGCTGAAGGCAGTCGCTTATCCAACTGAGCCACCCAGGCGCCCTGTCATGCATCTTTTTAATTTTTATAAAGAATCTATTCTGTGCAAGACACTGTGCTGAGAACCCAGAGATAAGCAAAGATACATAAGACACATTTCCCTCTGCCCTGGAGCTTGCAACATTGTAGCAGAGATAATATGTGCAAATTACAAAGCAATAATGATAGTAATAATAGTAGGAGCTACCAATTATTGAGCCCTTACTATGTGTTCAAGTGCTTTCTGTTCCTCATCTCCTAGAAATAGACATTTTATACCCATTTTTTTTTTTTTTTTTTGACAAGGAGAGTGAGAGTCAGAAAGCTTCATTCATTCAGTCCACAAATATTTATGGTAGCGATGAGCCTGGTCACTTTGCTGGGTACAAAGAATATAAATAATGGAATGCATGATTATTTGAATATAATTCCTGACCTTACAAAGTTTACAGTCGGGGAACAAGTAAATAAATACATTTGTTTCTGTAAAGCTAGAATGATGATCTTCCCACCATGCCCCCCTCAACCCCAAATTGAAATTCCACTTTCTCAGTGAAGCCTTCCTTAAGCCCCGCACAAGGTCAGTGTAGCCTCGCATGATTTCATGGTGCTGTCTACCTTCACTTCCCAGCACTTGTTTCAGTTTATAATTTACCATCACTTGTGTCATCATTTCTCAAATCATAAGCTCCACGAGAGCAGGGATCATATTGGGTTCCTTTCACCATTGTAATCAATGTCTAGGAAAGAGCCCAGCACATAGTAGGTACTTAATACATTATTTTTTGTCTGCACAAAAGAAACAGTATCAGTAGATATCGTATGCTGAAGGTATATCACGTATCAGGCACTGTGCCAAACACTTCATATACATCATTTCATTCAATCCTCGGGAAACTCTACAGGGTAGGGAGTACTGTATTATTTTGTAGGTGAAGATGCTCATATAAGTTAAATAACCCTCCCAAAGCAGCACTGTTCAAGAGCAGTAGAAGCTGAATGACTCCAAAATCCCAGATCTTTCCTAATATGCTACATTGCCTCAAGATAATAAACATTAAAAATATGTAAATAAATGTGTGTATTTATATATGCACACATATATATCCATGCATATACATATATATACATATACATAAACATAATATATACACACACATATAGAGTTAAACTCCTGGTTTATCCACTACTCTATTCCTTCTCTGATTCCCAGAGCCCATTATCCATCCATGCCTGTCTTAAGATACTTAATCAATGAGGATGCTTTCAGCTCAAGCACCGGAAAACACAACTCAGAATAAATTAAATTACAAAGGGATTTAGTATTTCAGTAACAAGAAGCATGGAAGGCAGTTAGTTTCCTGGTTGGTCAAGTAGGAAGCTCTACCATTCTTTCAAGGACTCGAGTTCCTTCCATCTTTCTGCTCTGTCACTCTCAGTGTGTCTTCCACAAGCTAAAACTCCCCTCAGTTACGACATGGCTGCTTGCACTTCCAGACATCATGTGTCACCATTCCCACACCAATGTCTATAGTAGAAGAGAAGGATTCTCTCCCACTTTGCATCCCTTTTATTTTTATTTTTATTTTTTTTGC